TCCACCCATAATGCTGCTCTCTGCTGCAACAGCTGATGTGAGCAGCTCTGGCTGAGATCAAGTGGCCCAAGGAGTCCACCATAGCTATTATTTGCCCCTTGACAGGAAATTTCCTGTCCCTTGCTACCGGTGAGCATAGTCCCACATGGAAAATAGTCAAAACATATTCTTACTAACATATTAATGGCAATGCAGTATTTTATTTATTCTACTTATGACTAATATTTGGGGACATTTATGATATTAATAGAATTTAAGAAGTTGAGCTTGTATCTTTATTTTTTTTGCAACTCTGTTATGGTTTGTGTCTAGATAGCCCCCGCAAAGCCTCATGCAGTCATGCGGGTGGGCTTCTAGAGTTTGTGACTGATTCATAGTCCAATGCTGGGATTAAGGGTGTGAGTGCTACACCTGCCCTAGGGCGGGTACCCTGCATACAACATAAGGGACAGAAAGAGGCTTGTCCCTCTCTTCCTTTGCTGCTTTTGCTGTCTTCTGCCCACTGTGAACTGCTCTTCTCTGTGAAGCCACCCTGCCTTGGAGCCAGCCAATTATGGACGGAAACCTCCATGAACTGTGAGCTAAATAAACCTTTCCTCCTTTAACTTCTGGTGTCAGTTATTTTATCTCAGCAATGAGAGAAGTAATGAAGACAATCCCACTGCCAGATAGTGATAAGAGAAATAGTCAAAAACATTATGGCCAAAGATTTGATGTGAAAAGCTTATTAAAAATGCTTGGCACAAAGGGGCTGGGGATTTCGCTCAGCAGCACAGCCCCTGCCTGGCTAGAGCAAGGTCGTGAGTTCGATTCCCTGTACCGGTAAAAAAACAAACAAACAAACAAACAAACAAAAGCTTGGCATTAGTATACATATAACTACATATAACTCTGATTTGGCTGCAAATGGGAATGCTTGGCTAAGTTCAGAAGGAACGTCGCCTCATGCTGAGCTATCTTCTTGGTATTCTGCTGCTGTTCAGTTTTAGCAGTTACCTGTGATCACATGAATGGAACGGAGAAGACTGTCTTGGTCACCTTCTCATTGCTGAGACACAATGCCCAACACCTGCAATTTAAAGGAGAGAGATTTGCTTTGGCTCGAGTTTCAGAAGTTTCAGGCCATGTTCTACAGGCTGGTGGAAAGGCCTGGTAGAGGAAAGCTGCTCACATCATGGTGGTCAGGAAGCACAGAGCGAACAGAAGAGCCAGGAGGGAGATCCGCCCTTCCACGTCACACCGCCACGGACCCACCTCTTCCTACCACGCCCTGCCTCCATCGCCCCATGATTCAGTCACCTTCCAGAAGCCCTGTCCATGATTGCATGAGGCCTTTCGGGCACAGCCTTGATCTAAACTACAACCAGTTACTACAGTAATGAGGCCATGCATAATACAACAGTATCCACTACTTTTGAAGCCAACAGGTTAAAGCTAAGGACTTAGCCAAAATTCAGGAATAAAAGTCCAAGATGAAATAAACATTGAGTTCTCTGCCAAAGCGTCAACCAGGAAGGCTTGAGGTGCAAGGGAGGGGCCAAAGGGCGAAGACCCCACCCTGGACCCCTCCCCACAAGGGCACAGGTGCAGCCCAGTGAGCCTCTGGGGAGAGACCCCCAGAAATTAGTCTGAAATAAAAAGGGCTACAGACAGTATCTTTTTCTGAAAATTACCTCACTTGAAAACAATTTACACGTGAACAGAACACCACAAAGAACGTGCATTGCATTAGTAGTAGTGACCCTGGAAGAGGAGGGCCCTGAGTAGTCTCTGTTTCCTTTTTTTCATTTGCTTGTCTGTTTTCTAATATTTCTATTATAAATACATATTATTTTGTAATTTAGAAACTGAAACATGTATGAAACCCGCATCACGTATGAAACCCAGTCTGTACCCCGCCCTTGCCAGGCTGGCTCTCTGGGGACCCCGCCACACCACCTTCCCCGCTGTGGGGTGTGGGTGCTGACTGGATCCCCCCACAGACGCACCTGAGTCACTCCCTGGAGCTCTGCCCCTTCCTGAGGGGACCCCGGGGCGGGTGGGAGCAGAGCCCCATGTTGCTCCTTGGCCGGGCCCTGGGAATCATCCCTGGACCCTGAGCCTGAACAGGAGCCTTTCCAGCTGTCTTACAGTCCCCTAAACCAGCCTTCACTGGTGCCCGGTTGCTCCTGTTTTCTGAGACACAACCCTGGCTGACATACGGGCTCCTGAGCCATGTGGAGACAAGCATTGAAGAAAAACATACACTTCATGACAAGTCGAATGAAAAGTGTTCCAAACCATCAATATTTCAAGTGATTTAGAATCCATCTGAGCTGCAAAAGGAAGAGTAAAAGTAAGTGGCGTAACTCTACCAAATCCGAAGCACAACAAAGCTCTCCCAGCACAAATGTACCAGGGTCTCAGATTTCCTCACTTTTATTAAGACAGGCGGATGGAAAGTGGCTTAAATGTTTTTGGAAACGGCTTGACTTTTCCCCAGGAGCCTTATCCCAATGAGGTAAAGGAGGGATAGTGAGGAACGGATAATGGACTAAACGTGCCTGTTTGTGGAATTTCGGCTTCAAGAACAGTTTTTCCTGGGGGTAGAAGCTCTATGCTGCAGGGTCCTCCCTTGTGCCGCCATCACAGGTGGGTGCACGGAACCATGCGGGTTAGCTGTGCCAGGCGCTCCGAGGTGTGCAGGACGTCCGGATGCCTGGCACATCTCTGCTGCCCAGGTATCAGTCACACCTGCCAGTGCGGGTGGCCTGTGCTGCGTGGGATGTGGAGCCCGCCTGCCAGGGGGCTCTTCCGGGCCTTCTAGGTGAGCACCGAGCCAATACCTTTGCTCGAGCGCTCCTCCGAGCACATCAGACCAGCAACCCTGCTCAGGTGTCATTCTGGACAGAGTGACTGGGACCCAGGTACTGGTCTTCTTGCTTCTCACACCCTCCTCTCTGGTAGGGAATTTTTTCTGTGTCATCATCTACCCCCTCCCCAAAAGCTGGAACCCTGTGCAAGACAGAGTCTAAAAAGACAAATGAATTTGTCAGTGAGTGAGGTTCAAAGATATTGTCCTTTTTTCTTCGGTGATGGGGCTTGAATTCAGAATCTTGGGCATGTTAAGCAAGAGCTTGACCATAAGCTGCCCCTAGCCCATTGTCTTCTTTTATAATAATAATAAAAGCTGCTCACAAGGATTGCTATGGTTTGGAGAAGAGTCCCTAAAGGCCCATGGGTTACAGGCCTGGCCCCCGACCCATGGCAGTGTTGGAGGGCAGGGAGCCTTCACGAGTGCCTAGCGGGAGGTTTTTGCTTACGCGGGCGTGCTCCGTGAAGGGCGTATTGGTGAGCAGCTTCCCCCTGACGTACTGCCTCAATGTATTGCCTGCCAAGGTCCCAGAACCAGGGGCTGTGGACCATGACTGAAACCTCCAAAATTGTGAACCTGAGCAAAGCTTTCTAAGCTGATGTCTTAGGTATTTTGTCACAGTGGTGAACTGCCTACTCACACAAGGATTTACGTGAAATATGACCAACCTTATTGTTCTGATTCCTTTCTCCCAACCGTTACTAAGGAGGAAGCCATCAGGAGGGAAATTTCTGGGTTCACCCCACATCTTGCTTTACAATGGTACCCAATGAACGGGAGGCCCGTCAGCTCTAGGGGCCTTCGCAGAAGAGAGTCCAGGTGTCCTCCTGCCTTGAGGACACTGTGGTGGAAAGGTCTGTAGGTTACTGCCCAGTGTTTGCTGCTGAGCTTTCCTTGGTGGTATCCGAGGAACCAGGGGAGGTATGAACTCTTGCCCGAGGGGGTTAATATTATCAAGAAGCATGGGTCCGTAAGGCCCATGTTTTTTCCGCATCTCCCTTAACACAGTAGGCTGTGGTACAGATGTCCAGGCACTAGAACCACTGCCCTTAGATGTTTGGAAGCTTCTGTAATCAGTGTGGACATCTTGCCAGTCAGACAGCTCTCTCAATTCCAACGCACATAACTCTGGGGTGAAACTAAGACAGGTGGGGATTTGCTCAGAGTATTTGTTGTGAATGCAAAATTCCACAGGCATATGTGGCACCTTGGCCTGGGCAAGCTATGCAGAGTGAGGGCAGAAAATGTGAAGGAGAATAAGAACAAGAAAGGAGGCTTCTCGGAGGAAAGGCTTATGTATGTGTTTATTTTGAGCAATGTTGGGAATTGAGCCCAAGACCGATCACATGCTGGGGAAGAGCTCTGCCGCTGAGCTGCACCTCTGCCCGCGAGGAAAGGTATTTGGACTGTGGTTTCAGAGTGGGACAGGCATGCGGAAGGAACTGGGACCAGCCACAGGGAACTGCTCCTGTCCCGGAGAGGCGGCTGATGTGAACCTGGATGTGCCCAGGTGAGAGAGAGTGCAGGTAGGGCTCATGTTGCTGAGGGGGAGAAAGGCTATCTGGCAGGAGGTGGACGTGGACATTCGTCAGCATGTGGCTCTTTGCAGAAGAGACCAGCATGGTCATGCGGAGCTGGTGGCGGTAAGCACTATGGTTTGGAGGACTGTCTGCCAAACGCTCATATGTTGGAAACTTGGCTCCCAGTGTGGCACTGTTGAGAGGTGCTGGGGCTGTAGAGGTGGGGCCTAGTGGGAGTTGGTTAGGTCAGTGGGACATGGCATTTGGAAGAGACTAAGGTTGTTCTCATGAGACCCTGCGCTAGTTCTCTTGAGAGGGTTCTAGAAGAGTGCAAGTCTGGCTCTTCCACTTGTTCCGGCTTCCCACGTCCCCACATGCACTTCCCTCTTGATGTGCTCCACTGTTGTGCTTCCACCCACCATGAACCCTTTGCCAGGGCTGAATGGATGCGGGTGCCATGCCCTTGGAGCTCAGAATTGTGAGCTAAATAAATCTCCTCTTTATAAAGTACTCAGCCTCAGATGTTTTGCTATAGTAACAGAAAATGGACAGAAACAATGAATGAGTCATAAAGAGAAAGCTGGGGCTGGAGAATCCTGGAGGGAGATTCTAGAAGAGTAGGTTCATGTTATCCACCCGGACTACAGCCCAGGGCAGCAGGTCAGAGTGTGGGCCTTGGGACAGCCCCCACCCTGGGTTTGTGACTTGGAGTGAGCTACATAATTTGGAAGGTGCTGATCATAATGGTACTTACCTCAGTGGTTTGGTGTGTTTTAGGAAATAATGCCCAGGATTGTGTAACTACAGCCTCAGGCACAGTGTGGCCAACAGCATGAAGCCACCATGAAGCGCTCCCATAGTGCTGTTGGTAGTACTGATACAGGAAACCAACTGTAAAGTGCTACCTGAATATAATTCTGATGTTAGCTTGCGTCGATTGGAAAACATTGGAAGGTACAGTCTTCACCCAAAGGCATCTATGAAGGAGCAGGAGTGGGTTTGGAAAAGGAGTTTGAGATGGAAAATGCTCAAGCTGGAGCCCCAGAAAAACCAGAAACAAGACTGGACCCTCAAAAAGAAGCACACGGAGGTGACCCCAATGGTAAGAGGGCTGGGAGGAGGGTGCCTTAGGGGCCTGTGCTCTTGGGAAGAAGGGGCCAGTGTTATGTATATAAATGATGCGTGCACACCCCGCATAGCCTTCTGTTGGATAAAGTTATTTAAATTAACACGTTGTTCATCAGATTGCATTTGTGAGCTCTAAGAATGACATCCCTCTTCCTTGGAGCGGATAATCAAAAGCCCTTTTTGTTTCTTTTGCATTTTTATTTTATTTATTTACTGTTTTGTTCAGAAAGCCCATTGCAGGTTACATCGAGCCATGTGGCTCTTCTGGTCGCAGAGGTCCTGAACACAGCACAGGCCTTGAGCACAGCACAGGCTGAGGAGAAGATGGCTGTTCTCCCCGTGGCCAGCAACGCACTCCACACGTCCATCAAAGAGTCTGAGTTCCCGCAGAAAGGCAGCGATGTCCCTGAGTTCCCAGAAGACACCACGCATCCCAAGAAAGGCAACATCTCTGGAACCTCAGCTAAAACCCCACGGCCAAAGCATAGCAACACCCCCAAGTCTTTGGTAAAAAAGACCCAGCCCAAACAGGGGAACACCCCCAAGTCCTCAGAGAAAACCATCCTGTCCGAAGAGGACAGCATCCCCACATCCTTGGAGGAAATGACTCAGCCCAAAGTGGGTGACAGCTCCAAGGCCTCAGACAAAACCAACCATTTCCACCGAGGGAGCATTCCCAAGGCCTCAGACAAAACCAACCATTTCCACCGAGGGAGCATTCCCAAG